TACCGCGTGCTGTGTTGTCGGGGGTTTTAATAGTGGTCACAGATTTCTGGCAAGCGCTGATAAATGAAGTTAAAAAGTTAGGTTTGTAGGTACTAGTAAGTCAATGTACCCATAACATTCTTCTTCATATCGTCGCCCTAATAAGAAAACTGCCTAGAATAGAATAGAGTAGAAATTTGTTGGTTTCTCAGTTATAAACAAAAAACAAAGAAATTTATAATAGAGATGATACGTCATTGTGATACAGTGTAAATAACATACAATTTTTTTTAAAGTACATTAAAAACAAACATACATAAACAACATATAACACAGCCATATTGATCCTTACGGTTTCACTAGAGCACAGAAGACTTCAATACTATATGGTTCTATTTCGCATATATATTTATGAATGCTTTTTTTGAATATAGTGACTGCTGAAATGCATTCAATATGTTGAGGTAAGGCATTATAAAGTTTCAGTGCAGAGTAATGTGGATATTTTTCGGTAGAATTTAGCTTATGTGATGGGTAGATGTATTGTGCCTGTGGTTGAAGACGTTTTTTTCAAACTCTTATTTATGGTTAAAGATAAATAGTAGAGTGTTATACATATAAATTCCCGCTGATGTTAATAAGCGGTTGACTTTAAATATACTTCTACATGACTCTCTAGGTTTCATTTTGAACATTGTTCTTATTATCCTCTTTTGCATGATAAAATTCTATTAGCTGCGGGACTATTACCACAACTTGTTATTTGATAAGACATAATAGAATGCGCAAGCTCATAGTAGGCAGCCTGCACAGCTTACAAGGGCAGGTGACAAGTGAGTACTCGTAGTACATAGCATGCTTGATTGAGTTTTGAAGCCACGGTCCACTTTAGGTCTATTTAACATCACTAACTCGTAAAAAGAAGGTGGTAGACAAGGACCAGTCGACCGAGGCAGTACCACCCGCTAGCTTTTCCCAGGGTGTCTTATAAATGTCCGCATGTTTCCACACCTAAGCTATGCAGTCGGTTATCTACCAAAACAAAGAAATTAATGATGATGGATCCCTCGAGCACTAAAAACTCCGGACGTAAACTCACTCCACTCTCGGAATGTCCGGGTGGAGGGTGGGCTCGAGGGAACAACATCGAAGATAAAATTTGTTTTTCGAACATCTGCGGGATCAACAGCAACATTGATGCTGTTCATCACTACCTGCAATCCAATCGTCCCGCCGTGCTTTTCTTGGCCAGAGACAAAAATCTCAGAGACTGCACCGATTAACCATCTCAACTTCCCAAACTACGAGGTGCACTCCAATCTGAGAAAGAACGGGGGAGTTGTGGCTTTTGTCCGCAGCAGTCTTTCCTGCTCCAGGGATCTTTCTTTGGAATCAGACCGGAAGGACATTCTGTGGCTTCGCCTCAACTCCAAAACATCACCAAAATTTATTTGCTGCCTTTATCGCTCTCCCTCGAACCATAACTGGGATGACCTACTCGAATACCTCGCCGTCCAGATCGACTTCCTGAACATCAATCACCTCGCTTCAGAGGTAGTTCTTCTCGGTGATTTCAATGCCCATAACGAGTTTTGGTTGAGCTCAAATAAGACCGATGCAGCAGGTCGTGCAGTCGAAGCGTTCGCTCTTACTCAAGGGCTGACCCAGCTGGTCACGAGCCCTACTTTTTTCCCCCGCGTCTCGTCACACGCCAGTAGCCTGCTGGATCTCTTTCTGACCACGCATCCTGCCCATTACAGCACTGCTGTCCTGTCCCCCCTGGGTAACTCAGATCACGGTGTTGTGGAGGTTAGGTTTCGGTCAGAAGCCGCTGTGGCAGCAGAAACTCGCACAGGCCGCAAAACTTGGCATTACGGACATCCCGACTGGGAGGGGCTCAGAGACTTCTTCTCTAGCTTTCCTTGGAGAGATGTCTGTTTCACTGACGCGGATGCGTCGACTGTCTGTTCTTCAATAACCGAAATTATCCACGTCGGAATGGAGGAATACATCCCTCACACAGTGAAAGTTCCTAAACCAGGGTCCAATGGCTGGTTCAAAAATCGTGTGACACTGGCGCCAGCAGAAGATCAAGGCGCACAGAACCTACTTACAAAACCCCACTGTAGAGAACAGACAAGCCGACGTCGAGTCCAGAAACAAATATAACGAAGCGGTTCGCAATGCCAAAAACCAGCATGATATAAAAGTTAGGCACAGGGTAATGTCGCAGCGCAATGGCAGTCGGTCTTTCTGGACGCTGGCCAAGCAGATTGAAAAGAACTTCTCACACAGTAGCCTTCCACCACTTACGTGTCAGGATAGAAGTATTGTATTCGACTCGAAGGCCAAAGCGGAAGTTCTAGCCAAGATCTTTGCTGCCAACTCCACCATGGACGTCCCCACCAACGCCCAAGTGCCGTCAATTCAAAGGGTTCCCCACACTATGCGGGAGGTAACATTCAGGCATAAGACCGTAAGACGAGTGCTCTTGTCGCTCAACATCAACAAAGCTTCTGGTCCGGACTTGATTCCTGCCATTGTACTGAAGAGATGTGCAGCGGAGCTTGCTCCAGTTCTTTCGCGTCTCTTCCAGATATCTTATGAATCCGGCACCTTCCCAGAAAACTGGAAATTTGCTCATGTACAGCCCATCCCAAAAAAAGTATCTAAAACCGACCCTTACAACTACAGGCCTATAGCTCTGCTTTCTGTCATAAGTAAAGTGATGGAGAGGTGCATAAATCGCGAGCTTCTGGACTACCTCGAACGTCACAGCTTGATTAGCGACAGGCAGTACGGTTTCCGGCACCAACGATCCACAGGGGACCTCCTAGCTTACGTCACGCAACTGTGGAGTAAACTCATCCAGTCTCATGGTGAGGCTCATGTCGTTGCTCTTGACATCACGGAAGCGTTCGATCAGCTGTGGCACGCTGCCCTCTTAAGCAAACTTCCATCCTATGGCCTCCCAGAAAAGCTTTGCAGATGGGTGGCTGACTTTATCTCTGGCCGCAGGATATCCGTCGTAATTGACGGATTCTCCTCTTCATCCCACAACGTCAACGCGGGTGTTCCCCAGGGATCGGTCTTGGCTCCAACACTGTTTCTCTTACGTATCAACGACCTCCTTTCCTGCACGATCAACCCAATCCACAGCTTCGCTGATGACAGCACTCTACATGCAGGAATTCAGAGTGACAAGCCGATCTCTGCCGCTGAGCTGGAAAAAAGAAGACTAGCGACGAGTTCTTCTCTGACAAGAGACCTGGAGGCTATCACTGCTTGGGGACGCGGCAATCTTGTGCAGTTCAATGCTTCCAAAACACGGTACTGTACTTTGACGAACAAAAAGCGTCCTAGCGCTCATACAGTTTCGATGGACGGTCGAGTTCTACCAAAGAGCCATTCATTTCGGCTGGTCGGAGTCCAGATCACCGAGGACCTGATCTGGCACGAACACATCTCTTCAATAGCTGCAGCGGCTGGGAAAAAGCTAGGCTATTTGTTTAGGGCTAAGAAGTACTTTTCTCCGCATGACATTCTCTGACTACATTGTCCATGCTCGATGCTGTCCCGAGGAGGGCGGTCCGACTGATCGATGACTCTTCTCTAACAGACAGTCTCGGGACTCTTTCGCACCCGCGGGTCGTCGGCGATCTAGCTCTTTTCTATCGCTACACCAACGGGCTTTGCTCCTCAGAGCTCTCTTCCATGATGCCGCCGCGCGATGTGCCTGCCAGACAGACCCGCCTGACTTCGGCGTCCCATCCTAGCCGTGTCGAGCTTCGTACATCCAGAACTGGCCGATACGATCGCTCCTTTGTCCCGAGGGTGTCTAGATTGTGGAACAATCTACGGGAGAAAGCTTTTCCCAGTTCTACTAACCTTAGGCAGTTCAAAAATCGTATCAACAAAATTTCTTTGGGCTCATCATAGCAGCCGCGGTGTTCCGGCATTTAGGCTTCTGCCTGCGCGGCTGTTTCGATATAAAAAAAAAATACTCTCAATGTGCTTATCAAACTTAAGACAGCTTTCATATGTGACACCCAGGAGGTTTGTATCGCTTTTGATACATAGAGGTTCATTAATTAAGGGTAGTTATTTAGTGGCATGGCTTAACTGAAATAGAACACAACACGTTTTTTGTATGTTGAATGCTAACTTATTCACCTACAGCCAGTTTTGAATATGGTTTATTCGGGTCTCTATCCAGATTCCAATATCAGACGTCCCTTTATATGGTATCAGAATAGTTATATCATCTGCATAGATGAAACTTAGATTTTGCGTGATTTCCGTGGTGGTGAATATATTGTTAATATAAATAATATACAATGTTGGGCCCAGTGTACTGCCTTGAGGAACACCAGTACTATATGTCCGAGGACTAGATGTTATTCGTTTCCCAGTTTTGTTCAAAATTACTTTCTGTCTATTACAGATATAAGATTTAAGCCAGTAGTACGCATTCCCGCATATAGCATATTTATATAATTTGTTTAGCCATATTTCGTGATCAATGCAATCAAATGCTTTTGATAGGTCCACAAATAAACCACATGCTGCTCCTTGATACTCTCGATATTCATGGATTGCTGTTGTGAAATCGAACAGTGCTGTGTTCACACGTCTACCTTTCATGAAGCTATGTCAGTTATTTGTGAAAGTATTTATTTGATTGGAGAAAATTTATAAGACGGCTCTTATAAACAATTTCAAAAATTTTTGAAAAAATTATTAGCAAGCTAATAGCACGGTAGTTGTCCAAATCATCAGGATCGCCTTATTTATAGATTGGTAATACAAGTGCCATTTTAATGCTTCTGGGAATTCCCCTTCACTAAGAGATGTATTTAGAATGTTAAGAAGAGGGTCAGATATTATGGTTATCATTATCATTTAATGGTGGACATTGGAATGTTGTCATCACCACAACTTTTTGTGTGTTTTAGGTTGCATTCAATTCTGAGCAATTCATCATGATCTATTGGAGTTAAAAATATTGCTTTATTTTTTAGTTCTAGGTTGCAGTCATAATTCAAATTTTGTAGTTTCGAGAGGAGTTTTGGAGCAGCTTCGACAAAGCTTTTATTGAAATGGTTGGCTAAAGCATTTACGTCATTATGTACCTACCGGTAAGACAAACTGATCTGACGTTTTGGGTGTGTTAGTTAATTTTCTTCTTTCTTCTATTGCCATGATTATTTACTTTGTTTAAATAGTATTGCTCTACATTTTGTCCAAAATGACATTTTAGATCCATCTGTTAAAGAACGGCACGGTTCGTCGACTTACAAAACGGTATATACATAGAGAAATCTAGACTTACGCAATAATCTAAACAAAAATATGCCTACCTCCTGGAAAACAGCCTGCATCTGTCATTTTGTGGGTATTTCTGTAACGATCAAGTGTCTGTTCTTTCAAAACTCTCTCAGCATGATATCACTCAATTGTTCACATCAAATATCGAAAAATGAATGGGAGGTAAGGATTAAATCATAATGAATTTTTCGCATAATTTCAGATGGGCTTAGTTCTCTAGCCATGCGGACGGTTCTGATGGTGAAAAAAAGCTGCTCTGCAAGATGCATCAAAGAACGTGCCATGTACTGTTCAAAATTCCAGCGTAGCTCGTTCCAACACATCATCAATAGGTTTTATTCTAACGTATCATATTTAGTGTAGTAATGGACTTGAGAATAGCTCATCCTGGCCGTGCAGATGAGACAACTGAATCGTTAGAAACAAAGAATATTTCTGATATGAGTCGAACCATTCAAGGAAATGTCATTTCAGCATTTTGTTTTACGTCTGATATTGGTGAATATTGGAGATTGTCGATGAAAATCAACAGCTTTTGAAGCAATCAGCAGAGCCACTATAAAATATGCATACACCAGAAGAAGAAATTGACAATGCAGTAGAAATTGTGTCAAATATGTCACTTGAGGTACAAGAAAGACACGAAAATGATATTTGTCAGATTGACAACTTACTTGACATCGGCGTGCAATTTGAGTTGTCCTATTATCAAACTTCAACATAAAATTGTACAATGACCGGAAATGCGATCAATGGAGAAGGCCTACAGCTCGTGCTAAATTTATCAGCGCATTTCCAGGAAGTGAATGTAAGCAGCGTTCACCTGTTACTCACTTCATGCGTACTGGAGAGAGTAGCAGATGCGTCCATGGTACTGAGTCTCGATCTGCTTACTCATTTCATATGGCGTTTATGACGTAAGAGGGATGTCTTTTAAATTTTGCATATAGAAACATAGTAGGCCGCGCAGATCGAACGTCAGTACTGAATCTCAACCTCACCCTTCAGTCAACTTAAATTGAAAGTTTCACGTGCAGTGTTCTCAAAGACCTCAATTAAAAAAATTTTACAAAAAGAATTAGGAGTAAGAAAACTAGTTTCTCGTTGGATACCCCACCTGTTGACTGAAGAGCAGAAAGCAGCCAGGGTTAATTGGTGTCAAAAAACGCTTGACCGTTTTAATTCCGGAAACTCAAAAAATGTGTACAGCATTGTTAGTGGTGATGAATCGTGGATTTACTGTTATGAACCAGAAAATAAATGACAGTCGGCTGTTTGGGTGCTCCATGGTGAAGAAAAGCCAACAACAGTCATCCGTTCTCGAAGTGTTTCCAAAAAGATGGTCTCGACATTTGTGTCAAAAGCGGGTCATATTGCAACAATTCTTCTTAATGAGCAAAGAACTGTTACTGCGGATTGGTATACCACCACTTGGTTGCCAGAAGTCATCACCGAGCTTCGAAAAATCAACCCCGAAAGAAGAATCACCCTCCACCAAGACAATGCAAGCTCGCACACAGCTCAAAAAACAAGGCGGTATTTAACAGAAGAAAACGTGGAATTATTGGACCATCCTCCATTTCCAAGTCCTAACGATTTCATTACTTTCCCGAACATTAAAAACAGACTGCGTGGTCAAAGGTTCCAGTCACCAGAAGAAGCAGTTACGTATTCAAAAATGCCGTTTTGCATCTGCCAGCAAACGAGTGGAATAAGTGCTTCGAAAATTGGTTCGAGCACATGCAGATGTGTATTAATCTTCGTGGAGAATACTTCGAAAAACAATAAGGTATTTGAAAACTACCTACCGTGTTGTTTTATTTCCATATGCAAAACTTAAAAGACATCCCTCGTAACCGCCAAGAATGGTGACCACAACTATAATAATGGCTGAACCTAGTTTTCTTGACACCTCTAATTGTAGATGGGACATATCCACTGTGACGCAAATCTTACCAAAGGCAATGTCCCAGATTTTTGACGGGCTGCCGCCTCCGATGTCGCAGTAATAGACAACTCGATTTAGACGTGGATGGGGATGTTGCCAGATGACTGAATAATTAAAACGTCTATTTATTATATTATTATGATTAGCGTCAGCAGAACTATTTGTGGAGTAAGATTCGTTCACCCTGGCATGCTTCCAGATTAAGCGTTGAATTAGCCATTCATATCGCAAAATCCAAAATCCGCCTCAATTCGACTGTGCTATTAGTACGCTCCCTCAACTCGCCTGCGTCGACGTCACTATGCGTCTCAATTTTCCATCTATGCTGACAGCTCATTGTACTTACCGATTGCAAAGGTTTCAAGTTGCCTGAAACAAAAAAGGAGTCCATCATAAACTCATCGAGTTTTCATCAGGCGAAAGAAATGGCTGGGACTTAACTTTTCAATACAGTAGGGTCAACTCTAGAAAGAAATTTTTTGAATAATAGCAGAGGCAAAATTACGGCATATCCTTCTTTACATGTTACACTTTTCATGTCAAAAATATTAGTTTTTCTGGAATAACGTGGATCTGATGTTAATATGGATAATAAATGGATAGAAACTTGTAGCTCAGTTGCCATGATTTTAATTATGCTAAGAAAAGTCGGCATGTCAGCAAATATGAGGGAAAAAGAAGTTGGTTATGGTACATCACACAAAAGATAAATAGTGACATTCAATCATCAACAACAAAATATTCTAAAAGGATTTAAAACAAACTGGTGAGAAGCTTGTGAGAGATAAATTCGAGTATGAAGCGATCATACCAGAAATAAAATGTTAGTATAACCGTTATAGAGTATTTACATATTTACAAATACAAATAATAAAATTAATTGTATAGGCGCTATCGATTAAGATGAAGAATACGTAACAGAAGTATAAGTTGCATAAATAAATGACGAAATAAAGTTAGCATTGTAGTAAGTAACAAGGACAACAAACAATTTAAAAGATTATATCATAAAACGCTCTTAAATTAAAATACATTTGCACCAGTACAGGGAAAGAAACACCTGATATTTAAGGTCGAGGATAATGTGAACTTTTTCTGTTTGACAATTTTCGCTGTATCTTCAAGAATGTAATGGTGGGGGGTATTCAAAGGCCGTAAAAAACATCCTGTATGTTCGAAACGGTTGAGTCGATCTTAACAAACTTGAGCTAGTTAAAAAGAGCTATTATTGGGTTACAAACGTTATAATATTTTAAGTCTTGTTAGTTTCACATGTGGCCGCTAGAGGGCTTTTTGAACTTTCAGAGAAGAAAGGTTTATTTTTGAAAAAAGTTAAATGCATTGCTATGAGTTTTTTTTTAAAAAGTAGCTAAATGATGTCTAAGCAACCCCGCGAAAGCCCCATCTCGATACGTTGTTCCTAACCTAACATTTAGGCCAAAGAAGATTTTATACGAAACTCCCTTATATTTTCATTTTATTTTTCAACTAATATTTCTAGAACTCTTTATCAGATACAGTGCCTCATCTTAGTTGGCCACCCTGTATTTCAAAGATATGGAAAATACTAAATGCTTAACCAATAACGGATGCTCTTACATATTAAGGCACACAGACCCTTCTTACAAAACCCCACTGTAGAGAACAGACAAGCCGACAAATATAACGAAGCGGTTCGCAATGCCAAAAACCAGCACGATATAAAAGTTAGGCACAGGGTAATGTCGCAGCTCAATGGCAGTCGGTCTTTCTGGACGCTGGCCAAGCAGATTGAAAAGAACTTCTCACACAGTAGCCTTCCACCACTTACGTGTCAGGATGGAACTATTGTATTCGACTCAAAGGCCAAGGCGGAAGTGCTAGCCAAGATCTTTGCTGCCAACTCCACCATGGACGTTCCCCTCCCCAATGCACAAGTACCGTAAATTCACAGGGCTCCCTACACTATGCGGGAGGTAACATTTAGGCATAAGACCGTAAGAGGAGTGCTCTTGTCGCTCGACCCCAACATAGCTTCTGGTCTAAACTTGATTCCTGCCATTGTACTGAAGAGGTGTGCAGCCGAGCTTGCTCCAGTTCTTTCGCGTCTCTTCCAGATATCTTATGAATCCGGCACATACCCAGAAAACTGGAAATTTGCTCATGTCCAACCCATCCAAAAAATGATCTAAGACCGACCCTTACAACTACAGGCCTATAGTTTTGCTTTCTGTTATAAGTAAGGTAATGGAGAGATGCATAAATCGCCAGCTTCTGGATTACCTCGAACGTCACAGCTTGATTAGCGACAGGGGTATGGTTTCCGGCACCAACGATCCACAGGGGACCTCCTAGCTTACGCCACGCAATTATGGAGTGATCTCATCCAGTCCTATGGTGAGGCTCATGTCGTTGCTCTTGTACATCACGAAAGCGTTCGATCAGCTGTGGCACGCTGTCCTCTTAAGCAAACTTCCATCCTATGGCCTTCCAGAAAAGCTTTGCAGATGGGCGGCTGACTCTATCTCTGGCCGCAAGATATCCGTCGTAATTGACGGGTTCTCCTCTTCATCCCACACCGTCAACGCGGGTGTTCCCCAGGGACCGCTCTGCTCCAACACTGTTTCTCTTACATATCAGCGACCTCCTTTCCTACACAATCAACCCAATCCACAGCTTCGCGGGTGACAGCACTCTACATGCAGGAACTCAGAGTGACAAGCCGATCTCTGCCGCTGAGCTGGAAAAACAAAGACTAGCTACGACTTCCTCTCTGACAAGAGACCTGGAGGCTATCACTGCTTGAGAGCAGCAATCTTGTACAGCTCA